CAGCATCATAGAGTAAGAAATCAGTAATATCAATCATGGCATGGACCATGACACCGTCGTTCCACACCTCCCAATGGTCAGAGGCGTGTACAATAGCCATGTAATGGCCAGGCCCGTGCACAATGCAGGCAGAGATGTGGGATGGAGGATTAAACAACTCACCAGGTAGAGCATGGCGTAGTTCAAGCTGGCGGTTCCTCATCGCTATTTCTAGGACAGCAATTGTAAAACCTCCTTCCCTGGTGTAATTAYGATGCTCTGGCTGTAGGTCGGGGGGATCTGCGAGATTAGCGAGATCAACATCAAGCTGTAGGGCAATTGCAAGGAAATCTGATGGTGTATACAACGACCGATTGAAAATGTGAAGGCAGCTATTAGTTGCAGTCAGACCACAGAGATTGGCAGGGATCTCAGGCTGGTTTGGTTGGTCAGTCATTTGTAGATCACCCGTGGGGTCTGCGCAGGGTGGTGCGCAAGTATGCGGGTTCATCCATATGATCCTGGTCAGCCATTTGCGAATCCCTCGTGGGGTCTGCGCCATGTGGGATTAAATGCAGTCCAAGCAGATCATGTTCCAGTCCCTCAGCGTTCGGGGCCCTACAGGGTGGGGCACAAGTATGCGGTTCATCCATGATCCTGGTCAGCCATTTGCAAATCCCCCATGTGGTCTATGCCTTGCGGGGTTAAATGCAGTCCGAGCTGATCATGTTCCAGGCCCTCAGCGTTCGGGGCCGCATGTTGTACAGYTGGGGGACAAACGAACATGGAAGGGCATAAAACATGGTGYTGTGGCTRTGTRCAAGCAGCTGGACTGTCTGCAGGAGGCATAGGAGCGGATGTATCCGTTTGGGACAACGGAACCGCAACAACCTGTGGAGGAGGCACAGAGAAAATTGGGGTAGACAAAGAAGCAGGCCGCTGATCCCTGGCCAAGTGGCGATGTTGCGCATGTCGTTGACGATGATACACAATAAGAGGAGTGGCGATGTTTCTAACAAAAGATGAGGATGTCATTGGCAATGAAGGCGGAACAATGGGAATAATAGAAACCGGAGAATCGGTTCTCAAACGAGACCGTGGAGGAGATGGGGGTGGCGAGGAGGAACACAGCCGTCCGCGGCCAAGCACAAAGGGATGAAAGGGGGGTGGATTGGGCAGGATGTCGGAACATAGGACGCGAGTGTCGGGCTGGGGTAGAGGAAGCTATACCAGTAAAAATTATAGCATGAGAAATTTTAGCTACAGAAGCAGAGGAAGTGGTAAAAAGTGGAACCGCAGCAGAGACAACTGTTGTAGCAGGAACCGCAGTGGTAAAAAGTGGAACCGCAGCAGAGACAACTGTTGTAGCAGGAACCGCAGCAGAGGCAACTTCCGTAGCAGGGACAGCAGCGGAGGCAACTTCCATAGTAGAAACTGTCGGAGTGAAACCCAGAGTTGAAACAGCAATAGTGGAAACTGCAGCAGTGGAGACCACAGCGGTGGAAGTGGCGGCGGTGGGAACCGCAACAGTGGGAACTGCATTAGCAGCAGATGAACAAGCACTGACAGGACGAGMGCCATGTGGGGATAAAGAAGAAAGTGGGTGATGCAAGGACCATCGCAGCATGCGTCGGAACCACTGAGAGAGACGGGTGACGTGTGTAGGATAGCGACGTTGGCGGGAGCATGTGTAGCAGGTCCATCCTTTAGCGAGGGTTGGTGGGGAATGGCCACGAGAAAGCATGCGACGAGTGAGTGTTGTCGCTGCAGTTCGGAAGTCCTGCTAATTATTGCAGATGCGTTCAAATCTGGTCAATTGCCCAGTGAACACACCGGCCAATTGATGGGAAGGGATGTTGGAGGTAGCACTTGGATAGCGAATAACAGGGAAATCCCAAGCAGCCGCTTTATCAAACACGCTCATGCGAAGCGAACCATCAGAATGTACCCGTAGATGCACACCTAAAAAGGTCCAGTGCCATCTGTAGCCGTAGTTTCCTTCCACTCRAGCCCATAGTGCTCTGAAGGAGGAGGTAATTGCCCCCATGAAAGAACATCATCAATGAGGCAATAAGTGAAGGTGTATCGCGGAGCAGCTTGGGGATTATGTTGACGAATGTCATCAATAAAGCGTGCTTCATCCCAAAACAGCGTTAGATTGGAGATTTCTGGGCCAGCATTTGTTCCCATTGGAATACCAATGATTTGCTTTCGAAGAGTACCATCTCTAGTGTACAGAAAAGTGTTTTCTACAACAAAGCGAAGATCTTGGAGAATCTGTGAAACGGAAAGGCTGTCTGGTCCTGAATCGGTTGTCCAATGGCCAGAGCGAGGCCCGCGAATAAACATGTTCAAGGCTCTGCAGCGCGAATGCATGCGGGTAGGATTAGCTGATGTAGGAATAGGTGGAGCAGGTGAGGGCTGAGCAAAAGGGGATTGAGGAACGAACGGCTGAGGGCCCATTTGTGTCCATCGGGAAGGACGCAAATGCCGCCATGGAGATGGCAATCTAGCCATTGGAAGGACTGCATTGAAACCGACTGGGTGAAGCGTTCGAAATTTTCGAACCCAAAAACCCTCGCAGGGTGCAGCAGCCCTCCGAAAGAGGTCATGATCAACAAGACCTCCAGACGTATGATACAGGGTMGGATCGATGCATTCCARGGGCCAAGCCGCAAAGTTGAATGCTGGTTGCCCACTCATTGTGCGGTAGAAATGGCGATGGTGAAAAGCAGCAGAAGAGTGTCGTGTATGCCAATGCTCTTGCAGCCTTTGGTGTGCAGAATGCATCGTCTGTCCAACATAAAAACGACCAGAAGGTAAATGAACAATGGCATAAATCACTCCTCGAACAATGAGGGGGTCCATACCTAGTTCAAGAGGTTGTTGATCAACACCTCGCAATTATAACTCAAACCGCTCGGCCTGTACAACATTGTTAAGATGACGGAGTTGTCTTTTGCGCCACCTTCCTGCAGAATACAAGTTAGTATTCCACTCCAAGTGTGCACGCCAATCTACACGATGAGAAACAGATGCCTGGCGGTTCGACATGTGAGCATAAGCAAACGGGACAGCGTGAACTAGAGGAAAGCTTCGGGACAGCCCCTTGATTATTTCTTAATTGCAAATTCATTGATTATGAAACAATTGTTTTTTGTTTGTTTGTTTGTTTGTTTTTTTTTT